AAACGATTTTATTATGAAAGGGATGTTATTTTCCCTTTTTATGTGTTTTATTTTCTTTTTTTTTCATTGGATTATATTTGTTGAGTTTGTTGTTTTTTGGAGAATTATGTTCAGAGGATTTATGGGGAGAGGAAGAGGGATGGGGATGGGAGGGAGGGGGAGGGAATAGATGTGGGGAGAGGGGAGAGAGGAGTGGGAGTAAGAGAGGGAGTGGAGAGGAGAGGAAGGGGGAGAGGGGAGAGAGAGAGTGGGAGAAGAGGGAGAGGGAGTGGCAGTGGGAGAGGGAGTTGGGAGAAGGAGAGGGAGGGGTAGAAGGAGAGCAGAGGAAACAAAAGGGAAGAGAGAAGGAGAAAGAGGGAGAAGGAAAATGGGAAGAAGGAACAACAGGAAAAGGAAGAAGATAGAGAAGGAGAGAGAAGGGGATGGAGGGAAACAGAAGTAGGAGAAGGGAAAGGGAAAAGAGTGCATGGAAAAAGAGTGATGGAGGAGAGTGAAGGTGAGAGAGTGAGACAGAGAGTGAGAGGAGAAAAGAGTGAGAGGGAGAAAACAGAGAGAGGAGAAAGAGAGTGAGAGAGAAAGAGGAGAAGAGAAAGAGAGTGAGAGGGAGAAGAGAGTGAGAGGGAGAAAGAAGTGAGAGAGGAGAGAGGTGAGAGGGAGAAAGAGAGTGAGAGGGAGAAAGAGAGTGAGAGGGAGAAGCAGAGAGGAGAAAGAGAGAGAAAGAGAGAAAGAGAGAAAGAGAGAAAGAGAGAAAGAGAGAAAGAGAAAGAGAAAGAGAAAGAGAAAGAGAAAGAGAGAGAGAGAGAGAGAGAGAGAGAGAGAGAGAGAGAGAGAGAAGAGAGAGAAGAGAAAGAGAAGAGAGAGAGAGAGAGAGAGAGAGAGAGAGAGAGAGAGAGAGAGAGAGAGAGAGAAAGAGAGGAAGAAATAGGGATATAAAAGGAGAAAAAAAAAAAAAAAAAAAACAGAGGCATAGGGGGAGGAGAAAGGGGAATGATAAAGGTAGAGGGAGAGGGAAACAAGAGACAGATAAGAACCAAATGAATACAGTGAGAACCAAAGAAAAGGGGAAACACGAAGGGGAGAAATAAGAACGGGAATGAAAATGAGAAAGTGAGAGAGCGAAATAGAGGGCGAGAGGGAGACTTAAGCGAAAAGTGACGATGAGAGTAAAAATAAGAATAAAAAAAAAAAAAAAAAAAAGAAAATTAAAAGCAAGTGGATGACCACGATTCGCAGAGGAAAAAGAAAGAAAGAGAGAGAGAAGCAGAAAAAAAAGAAGAAAAGAAAGAAAGAAAGAAGAAGAAGAAAAGAAAAACAGAAAATGGCTTGTATATATTTGACAACTTCCTGTGATTCGTTTAGCCACAAGTTCGCCAGTGCTAAATGATGTTGACGATGGAACAGGGTGAGAGCAGGACTTTGTGTCTTCGTAAGTGAGTGTGAGAATGAGAGTAAGAGTGACAGTGACAGTGGGAGAGGGTGAGAGGGAGAGTGAGTGTGAAAATGAGAGGGAGAGTGAGAGTGGGAGGGAGAGTGAGTGTGAAAATGAGTGAGTGTGAAAATGAGAGTGAGAGTGAGAGTGACAGTGAGAGTAGTGCTGAAAATGAGAGGGAGAGTGAGAGAGGAGAGTGAGTGTGAAAATGAGAGAGAGAGAGAGTGAGTGTGAAAATGAGAGTGAGAGTGAGTGAGAGTGACAGTGGGAGTGGGTGAGAGTGAGAGTGATAGTGATAGTGACAGTGGGCGAGGGTGAGAGTGAGATTTAAAGAGAGAAAGAGTGTGTAGAGGTGGGGGTAAAGGTGAAAGTGAGAGAGAGAGAGAGAGAGAGAGAGAGAGAGAGAGAGAGAGAGAGAGAGAGAGAGAGAGAGAGAGAGAGAGAGAGAGAGTGTAAAACAGACACGAAAAATAACAACAAAAATTACGGAATGACTCGGGGAAAGCGAAATTGGGGAAGTGAAAAAAGTGGATAAAAAGTGGAAAAAAGTGCCAAAGGAGAAAAGTTAAAACGTAAATTGTTAAAGATATTACTCTTGTTATCCATATTTCTTTTTTATCATCCTTATCGTCATTAATACTATCATTATAGCTGTTATTTCAACTTAACCTTAATAACTATTAAATTTTATCAATCATTGTCGCAATAAACATTTCTCGTCATTTTTGGAAAAAGTTCTTACCGAAAGAAAGAGAGATAAAAGAAGATTAACGAAAGAAAAAAAGAAGAGAAGAGGAAAACAACAAACAAACAAACAAAGAAGGGGAACAACAAACAAGCACGAAAATAAATCACAAGAAACAGCTGGGACGAGGACGAAAAATGGAACGTATTTCACCGTGCAAAAGGTATGCGAATTTCAACATTATTGTCTTTTTTGGGTCGCAGTTCCTATGTTTTAAGGTTTATTATTATTATCGATATTGTTAGCATTATCATTATCGTTATCATTATCATTATTGATATTATTATTATTGTTATCATTATTATCATTATCGTTTTCGTTATTATCATTATCATTATCGTTGTTATTATTGTTATCTTTATTGTCATTATCGTTTTGATTATCATTATCGTTATCATTATTATTATTATCGTTAACATTATTATCATTATCGCTATTAATATTACCATTGTATTTATCTGCTATGAATACTGGCTATGAGTGCTTGCAATTATTTACACCGTGAAGTGTGTCATAAAAACGTGAGAAATGGAAAATTATTTTCTTCATCTACTTCCTTCAAAATGAGTTGCATCAACTATCATTAATTAATCTACATGTAGCACGCAACATTAATATTATTTCCCGGTTTTGCAGAATTTTTATTTCCACTTTGTTACAAGATCTACGTATCCTGTTTCTTGGTAAAGTGTTTATTAACGCTAACATAAAATTAGTGTTTAAGACGACACCCTTCCCATTATACTAGCAATGTTCTCCTTCACTTAAATATAAATTCTGTGTCTTTATACTGACCTCTTATAGTAGATATAATTAAAGGGATGTGAGTACCTTGTTACTATACTTACTTTTCCCTTTTTTAAAAATTGCGTTCCTGTGTACTCTAGTTTACTTTGCTCTTAGTAAAACTTATGAATTTATCCATTGCAATCCAGATCCTTTCTTTTCTTTGATATAAGAACATATAACTTGGACCTTTTCTTTCTTTTGTTACAAAAATCGTTGCAATCTCTTGTCATCATTTCACACCTTTAAACCTTCTCTGAAGTCTAATGTAGCTTTCCACTGCACTGAAATAAATACATACTCTTCCTATAATCCTATTTATGAGTAACATGAAGGTATATTCTTTCTAAGTAGATTAATGTGTTTTCCGAGTCTAACTTTAGTTTTCACTGAGTAGCTTTAAATACTCTTACTGAGTACATAAAGGTATGTTCTGTTCGTATGATATATGATTCAATATCTTCCCATTTATTGTGCTCTTAAGTTGAGTGGACTTCTCTCTTGTATGCAAACAGATCCTAATCAGTCAATAATGCCGAAATATTTACAATTCTATTAATAATTTTGAGCGATAAATGCATAGTCATACTATACCAGTAAATGTTTCACTAGTTAATTTACGCGTGCCACCCCAATACTAAATCCTCGTTTTCTGTGGAATAATCCAAAGTAATATATTAAACTGCATAATTCCGCAATTAACACGTCAGAATGTATATCCATTTATATTATATCAGCACGTAACGGGTTGAAATATTAATCCTGCTCTATCTACATACTGATATAGCCTTTCGGAATAACATATATAACAATTATTCTAAAATATCATCCCCGTGCACGGTATTTCTCCCACTAACACGGTGCCAAAAATTATTCGATTTAGATATTGCTTCAGTTAATAATTGTTCTTGGAGACATAAACCCCAAGGGCTTCTTATTAGTACATAATAATTAAAATCGGTTTTATTTACCATATGTTTGTATACTTGGGATCCTCAGTCATCAAGATTATATTTCCATTGACCCAGCCTCTAGTATTTCTAAGAACTTTCCCAGTCTATCCATTTTGACCGTGTCTATCCATCGTATATCGGTGCAGCACCCTAGTATATCCATCCTGTTATATCGCCTATCCATTCAGACGCAGTCTACGTATCCTATCCCACTTTCCAATCTCAGAATCTCATGTAGCCTATATTTTAATGAGCTGTTCCTTGTCGGGAATTTTCTGCTACCCATCCTGATGAGTTCAGTCGGGTTATTAGTTCTAGAAGTTTCCATTCTCTTATAATTTGCACTATAATAGCATATCTTTAGAACAAGTATGTTTTGTATAATTTGGTCATCTGAGTATATCCTGATATACTCGCTGTATCCTAGTTTATCCTTAAACCGACACCTATCCCGTTTTAGTTAATCCTTTGTAGAAGAGCCTCCTATCCTGCCACGGACTATCCTACAACACTTGAACCTGAAAAATCATATCCGCTCAGGTATACTCTATCAATGCTGAAGACATAGCCTATCCATCCTGTTATAGTCTATCCATCCTGGAACAGTTCCCTATCCTGACATAGTCTATCCATCCTGGAACAGTTACCTATTCTAAGTCTATCCATCCTGTTATAGTCTATCCATCCTGGAACAGTTCCCTATCCTGACATAGTCTATCCATCCTGCTATAGTCTATCCATCCTGTTATAGTATATCCATCCTGGAATAGTTCCCTATCCTGACATAGTCTATCCATCCTGACATAATCTATCCATCCTGACATAGTCTATCCATCCTGCCATAGTCTATCCATCCTGGAACAGTTACCTATCCTGAGTCTGTCCATCCTGTAATAGTCTATCCATCCTGGAACAGTTCCCTATTCTAAGTCTATCCATCCTGTTATAGTCTATCCATCCTGTTATAGTCTATCCATCCTGGAACAGTTCCCTATCCTAACATAGTCTATCCATCCTGCTATAGTCTATCCATCCTGGAATAGTTCCCTATCCTGACATAGTCTATCCATCCTGACATAATCTATCCATCCTGACATAGTCTATCCATCCTGCCAAGTCTATCCATCCTGTATAGTCTATCCATCCTGCAATAGTCTATCCATCCTGGAACAGTTACCTATTCTGAGTCTGTCCATCGTGTTATAGTCTATCCATCCTGGAACAGTTCCCTATCCTGACATAGTCTATCCATCCTGCTGTAGTGTATCCATCCTGTTATAGTCTATCCATCCTGGAACAGTTCCATATCCTAACATAGTCTATCCACCCTGGAACAGTTGCCTATCCTGAGTCTATCCATCCTGTAATAGTCTATCCATTCTGCTATAGTCTATCCATCCTGCTATAGTCTATCCATCCTGTTATAGTCTATCCATCCTGGAACAGTTCCATATCCTAACATAGTCTATCCACCCTGGAACAGTTGCCTATCCTGAGTCTATCCATCCTGTAATAGTCTATCCATTCTGTTATAGTCTATCCATCCTGTTGTAGTCTATCCATCCTGACATAGTCTATCCATCCTGGAGCAGTTCCCTATCCTGACATAGTCTATCCATCCTGTTATAGTCTATCCACCCTGGAACAGTTGCCTCTCCTGAGTCTATCCATCCATTCTGTTATAGTCTATCCATCCTGTTATAGTCTATCCATCCTGCTATAGTCTATCCATCCTGGAACAGTCTCCTATCCTGACATAGTCTATCCATCCTGGAGCAGTTCCCTATCCTGAGTCTATATCCATCCCTAGTCTATCCATTCCAGTCTATCCATATTTCTATCCATCCTGTTATAGTCTATCCATCCTGGAGCAGTTTCCCTATCCTGAGTCTATCCATCCTGTAATAGTCTATCCATCTGTCTATCCATCCTGTTTTAGTCTATCCATCCTGTTATAGTCTATCCATCCTGGAACAGTCTCCTATCCTGACATAGTCTATCCATCCTGGAGCAGTTCCCTATCCTGAGTCTATCCATCCTGTAATAGTCTATCCATAATCCATCCTGTTATAGTCTATCCATCCTGTTATAGTCTATCCATCCTGGAGCAGTTCCCTATCCTGAGTCTATCCATCCTGTAATAGTCTATCCATTCTGTTACAGTCTATCCATCCTGTTATAGTCTATCCATCCTGTTTTAGTCTATCCATCCTGTTATAGTCTATCCATTCTGGAGCAGTTCCCTATCCTGAGTCTATCCATCCTGTAATAGTCTATCCATTCTGTTACAATCTATCCATCCTGTTTTAGTCTATCCATCCTGTTATAGTCTATCCATCCTGGAACAGTCTCCTATCCTGACATAGTCTATCCATCCTGGAGCAGTTCCCTATCCGGAGTCTATCCATCCTGTAATAGTCTATCCATTCTGTTACAGTCTATCCATTCTGTTACAGTCTATCCATCCTGTTATAGTCTATCCATTTTGGAACAGTTCTCTATCCTGGCATAGTCTATTCATCCTGGAACCGTTCCCTATCCTGACATAGTCTATCCATCCTGGAACAGTTGCCTATCCTGAGTCTATCCATCCTGTAATAGTCTATCCATTCTGTTATAGTCTATCCATCCTGTTACAGGTTATCTATCCTGGAACAGTTCCCTATCCTGACAGCCTATCCTTCCTGCTATATTCTATCCATCCTGGAGCAATTGCCTATCCTGACATAGTCTATCCATCCTGCTATAGTCTATCCATCCTGCTATGGCCTGTCGATCCTGGAACAGTTGCCTATCCTGACATAGTCTATCCTTCCTGCTATAGTCTATCTATCCCGGAACAGTTGCCTATCCTGGCATAGTCTATCCATCCTGCTAAAGTCTATCCATCCTGGAACAGTTGCCTATCCTCCTATAGTCTATCCATCCTGGAACAGTTGCCTATCCTGATATAGTCTATCCATCCTCCCATAGTCTATCCATCCTGGAACAGTTCCCTATCCTGACATAGTCTATCCATCCTCCCATAGTCTATCCATCCTGAAACAGTTGCCTATCCTGACATAGTCTATCCATCCTCCCATAGTCTATCCATCCTGGAGCAGTTCCCTATCCTGACATAGTCTATCCATCCTGCTATAGTCTATCCATCCTGGAACAGTTCCCTATCCTGACATAGTCTATCCAATCTGCTATAGTCTATCCATCCTGGAACAGTTGCCTATCCTGACATAGTCTATCCATCCTGATATAGTCTATCCATCCTGACATAGTCTATCCATCCTGCTATAGTCTATCCATCCTGGAACAGTTACCTATCCCGACATAGTCTATCCATCCTGCTATAGTCTATCCAACCTGGAACAGTTGCCTATCCTGACATAGTCTATCCAGCCTGATATAGTCTATCCTTCCTGCTATGTCCTATCCATCCTGGAACAGTTGCCTATCCTGCTATAGTCTATCCATCCTGGAACAGTTTCCTATCCTAACATAGTCTATCCATCCTGCCATAGTCTATCCATCCCGGAGCAGTTGCCTATCCTGACATAGTCTATCCATCCTGGAACAGTTCCCTATCCTGACATAGTCTATCCATCCTGCTATAGTCTATCCATCCTGGAACAGTTGCCTATCCTGACATAGTCTATCCATCCTGCTACAGTCTATCCATCCTGGAACAGTTGCCTATCCTGACATAGTCTATCCATCCTGTTATAGTCTATCCATCCTGGAACAATTGCCTATCCTGACATAGTCTATCCATCCTGGAACAGTTTCCTATCCTGATATAGTCTATCCATCCTGTTATAGTCTATTCATCCTGGAACACTTGCTTCTCCTGACATAGTCTATCCATCCTGGAACAGTTGCCTATCCTGTTATAGTCTATCCATCCTGGAACAGGCCCCTATCCTGACATAGTATATCCATCCTGCTATAGTCTATCATCCTGGAGTCTATCCATCCTGCCTATATAGTCTATCCATCCTGCTATAGCTATAGTCTATCCATCCTGGAACAGTTTCCTATCCTGACATAGCCTATCCATCCTGCCATAGTCTATCCATCCTGGAACAGTTCCCTATCCTGACATAGTCTATCCATCCTGGCATTTCTATCCTAGTCTATCCATCCTGCTATAGTCTATCCATCCTGCTATAGTCTATCCATCCTGGAACAGTTCCCTATCCTGACATAGTCTATCCATCCTCCTATCCTATATAGTCTATCCATCCTGTCATAGTCTATCCATCCTGGATTCCTATCCTGATATAGTCTATCCATCCTGCCATAGTCTATCCATCGTGGTATAGTTCCCTATCCTGACATAGTCTATCCATCCTGTCCCTATCCTGACATAGTCTATCCATCCTGGAACAGACCTATCCTGAATAGTCTACATCCTGGCAGTTGCCTATCCTGCCATAGTCTATCCATCCTGCCATAGTCTATCCATCCTGGAACAGTTCCCTATCCTGACATAGTCTATCCATCCTGGAACAGTTGCCTATAGTCTATCCATCCTGCCATAGTCTTATCCATCCTATCCTATCTGCATAGTCTATCCATCCTGGAACAGTTCCCTATCCTGACATAGTCTATCCATCCTGGAACAGTTGCCTATCCTGCCATAGTCTACCATCTATCCATCCTATAGTCTATCCATCCTGAAACAGTTCCCTATCCTGACATAGTCTATCCATCCTGGAACAGTTGCCTATCCTGCCATAGTCTATCCATCCCTCCCATCCTATAATCTATCCATCCTGGAACAGTTGCCTATCCTGACATAGTCTATCCATCCTGCCATAGTCTATTCATCCTGGAACAGTTCCCTATCCTGACATAGTCTATCCATCCTGAAACAGTTCCCTATCCTGACATAGTCTATCCATCCTGTTATAGTCTATCCATCCTGGAACAGTTCCCTATCCTGACATAGTCTATCCATCCTGTTATAGTCTATCCATCCAGTTGCCTATCCTGACATATTCTATCCATCCTGCTATAGTCTATCCATCCTGGAACAGTTCCCTATCCTGACATAGTCTATCCATCCTGCATCTATCATCCTGAATATCCTGACATAGTCTATCCATCCTGCTATAGTCTATCCATCCTGAAACAGTTCCTATCCTGACATAGTCTATCCATCCTGGAACAGTTGCCTATCCTGACATAGTCTATCCATCCTGCCATAGTCTATCCTGGAACAGTTCCCCTATCCTGACATAGTCTATCCATCCTGCTATCCTGACATAGTCTATCCATCCTGCTATAGTCTATCCATCCTGGAACAGTTCCCTATCCTGACATAGTCTATCCATCCTGTTATAGTCTATCCATCCTGGAACAGTTGCCTATCCTGACATATTCTATCCATCCTGCTATAGTCCATCCTGAACAGTTCCCTATCCTGCATAGTCTATCCATCCTGCTATAATCTATCATCCTTAGTTCCCTATCCTGACATAGTCTATCCATCCTGCTATTGTCTATCCATCTAGTGCCTATCCTGACATAGTCTATCCATCCTGCTATTGTCTATCCATCCTGGAACAGTTCCCTATCCTGACATAGTCTATCCATCCTGCTATAATCTATCCATCCTGGAACAGTTGCCTATCCTGACATAGTCTATCCATCCTGCTATAGTCTATCCATCCTGGAACAGTTCCCTATCCTGACATAGCCATAGTCTATCCATCCTGGAACGCCTATCCTGAGATAGTCTATCCATGCTGCTATAGTCTATTCATCCTGGAACAGTTCCCTATCCTGACATATTCTATCCATCCTGCTATTGTCTATCCATCCTGGAAGAGTTCCCTATTAGTCTATCCATCCTGCTATAGTCTATCCATCCTGCTATAGTCTATCCATCCTGCTATAGTCTATCCATCCTCAGTTGCCTATCCTGACATAGTCTATCCATGCTGCTATATTCTATCCATCCTGGAACAGTTCCCTATCCTGACATAGTCTATCCATTCTGCTATAGTCTATCCATCCTGGAACAGTTCCTTATCCTGACATAGTCTATCCATCCTACTATCCTGCTATAGTCTATCCATCCTGGAACAGTTCCCTATCCTATAGCATAGTCTATCCATCTGGACTATCCCATAGTCTATCCATCTATTGTCTATCCATCCTGGAACAGTTCCCTATCCTGACATAGTCTATCCATCCTGCTATAGTCTATCCATCCTGCTATAGTCTATCCATCTGGAGCAATTGCCTATCCTGACATAGTCTATCCATCCTGCTATAGTCTATCCATCCTGGAACATTCCTATCCTGACATAGTCTATCCATCCTGCTATCCATCCTGGAACAGTTCCCTATCTGACATAGTCTATCCATCTGCTATAGGCTCTATCCATCCTGGACAATTGCCTATCCTGACATAGTCTATCCATCCTGCTATAGTCTATCCATCCTGGTTGCCTATCCTGAATAGTCTCCATCCTGATAGTCTATCCATCCTGGAACAGTTCCTGAGTGCTATAGTCTATCCATCCTGGAGCAATTGCCTATCCTGACATAGTCTATCCATCCTGCTATAGTCTATCCATCCTGGAACAGTTACCTATCCTGACATAGTCTATCCATCCTGCTATAGTCTATCCATCTGGAACAGTTTCCTATCCTGACATAGTCTATCCATCCTGCCATAGTCTATCCATCCTGACATAGTCTATCCATCCATAGTCTATCCATCCTGCTATAGTCTATTCATCCTATCCCTATCCCATAGTCTATCCATCCTGAACAGTTTCCTATCCTGACATAGCCATAGTCTATCCTGGAACAGTTTCCTATCCTGACATAGTCTATCCATCCTGCCATAGTCTATCCATCCTCATAGTATCCATCCTGCTATAGTCTATCCATCCTGCTATAGTCTATCCATCCTGCTATAGTCTATCCATCCTGCTATAGTCTATCCCTATCCTGACATAGTCTATCCATCCTGGAACAGTTCCCTATCCTGACATAGTCTATCCATCCTCAGTTCCCTATAGTCTATCCATCCTGCTATAATCTATCCATCCTGCTATAGTCTATCCATCCTTGAATAGTTCCCTAACCTGACATAGTCTATCCATCCTGGAATAGTTGCCTATCCTGACATAGTCTATCCATCCTGCCATAGTCTATCCATCCTGCTATAGTCTATCCATCCTGGAACAGCTGACATAGTCTATCCATCCTATATCCTATTGTCTATCCATCCTAGTTCCCTCCTGACATAGTCTATCCATCCTGCCTATCCATCCTGCTATAGTCTATCATCCATCCTGGTCTAATCCTGGAATAGTTGCCTATCCTGACATAGTCTATCCATCCTGCATCTATCCATCCTGCTATAGTCTATCCATCCTGGAACAGTTGCCTATCCTGACATAGTCTATCCATCCTATCCATCCTGCTAGTCTATCCATCTGGAACAGTTGCCTATCCTGACATAGTCTATCCATCCTTATCCTGACATAGTCTATCCATCCCGCTATAATCTATCCATCCTGCTATAGTCTATCCATCCTGGAACAGTTGCCTATCCTGACATAGTCTATCCATCCTGCTATAATCTATCCATCCTGCTATAGTCTATCCATCCTGGAACAGTTGCCTATCCTGACATAGTCTATCCATCCCGCTATAATCTATCCATCCTGCTATAGTCTATCCATCCTGGAACAGTTGCCTATCCTGAGTCTATCCATCCCTATCCATCCTGCTATAGTCTATCCATCCTGGAACAGTTGCCTATCCTGACATAGTCTATCCATCCCTATCCATCCTGCTATAGTCTATCCATCCTGGAACAGTTGCCTATCCTGACATAGTCTATCCATCCTGCTATAGTCTATCCATCCTGGAACAGTTGCCTATCCTGACATAGTCTATCCATCCTATAGTCTATCCATCCTGGAACAGTTGCCTATCCTGACATAGTCTATCCATCCTTATAGTCTATCCATCCCCATCCTAGTGCCATAGTCTATCCATGCTATAATCTATCCATCCTGCTATAGTCTATCCATCCTGGAACAGTTGCCTATCCTGACATAGTCTATCCATCCTGGAACAATTGCCTATCCTAGTCTATCCATCCCGTATCCATCCTGGAACAGTCCTGCTATAGTCTATCCATCCTGCTATAGTCTATCCATCCTGGAACAGTTGCCTATCCTACATAGTCTATCCATCCTGCTATAGTCTATCCATCCTGGAACAGTTGCCTATCCTGACATAGTCTATCCATCCTGCTATAGTCTATCCATCCTGGAACAGTTGCCTATCCTGCCATAGTCTATCCATCCTGCTATAGTCTATCCATCCTGGAACAGTTGCCTATCCTGACATAGTCTATCCACCCTGCTAAAAGCTATCCTAGAACAGTTCCTCATCCTGGCATAGCCTATCCATCCTGATTTAGTCTATCCATCCTGTACCAGTTCCACATCCAGGCACAATCTCTACAACCTCAAACATTTTCCTATCCAGCCGTAGTCTATTCACTTCAGGATTTTTTCCCTATCCTGACAGTATCCATCCTAGAACAGTATTTCAGCCTACCGAAGTCTATCCATCCTATTCATATCCTATCTATCTTAAAGAAGGTTCCGTATCCTTGTTCAGTCCATCTTTCCTAGGACATTACCCTATCCTACCTTAGTCTATCCATCTTGAATCCGTTTCCCATCCCAGCAAGTTTGTTCATCCGTTCATAGTCTGTTCATAAAGTAATAGATTCTCGATATAAGAACATAACTGATACATCCTACAATAACAATATATCCAGGCATAATTTATCCACGCGAATTTAGTCAATTCACCCTTATATATTTAGCCTTTCGTAGTCTATCTATCCTAATGCAGATTATCCATCTATTCGTCTTGTTTCCCTATACTGATATAGTCTATCCATCT